GAATATAGAGTTGTTTATACTATTCTATTTGCCAAAACCTGGCATTTTTGAACACACATGGAAAAAGGAAGTCATGAGCCTGCTAAAATTGATTATAACATGTTATGTGAATGTGAATTCTATTTCCAGAGCAAGGTCTAGCTCTTTTCAGGGGTGTGGGGGGATTACTGGGGTTGAATTCAGAACTCACTGAGCTCTCAGTCTTTCTTTTTGTTGTTTTCTTATGTTGACAAGGACAAACTAAATTGCCAGACTGGGCTCAAACTTGCAATCCACCTGCCTCAGCCTTACAGGCCTGTACCACCACCGTACCATACCCAGCTTCTACCTTTTTATTAGATGCTCAAAATGTTAAGAATGTGCTCAGGGAGTGTTTGAATTTAATCCTTGTCTCTATATCAATAATACAATAGGGTTGGGGATTTAGCTCCTGCCTCACAGAACAAGGTCCTGAGTTCCATCCTGGTACCAAAGCACAAAACAAAACAAAAAACCACTATGCCTCCTGCAACAACTCCCTCCTGAGTATAGCGTAATCTTTCCCTTCTCTGAATTCTAACGTGAAATATTTTATAATCTAGCTTAATTTAACATTTTACACATGAGGAACTGATCTTAACACTTGGACAAACTGATTTGTCGGAAGTTGCTCTTGTAGAATTTGGGTTCTTGTACAACTGAGTTAACATTTACTTGCTCCTTTTTGTGAATGTCATTTCTCCAAAGGTCAGGAACTAAAGCTCAGAATTCTTGGAAAACCCTATCAGTATTGTCTTTCTAGCTGCTCAGATGTTTGCCGAGGACAGTGGTAATGAAAGTCGTGCTCAGGAAGGAGCAAGGAAATGTGCAGGAGGTGCTGAGTAAGGGGCAAATCTTAAAAGTAAGCATAAGCACGCTCTGGTTTTCCTCTGTGTGGGGGAGGAGATGACGACTGGGGACTGACCTGAGAGCCTTGGGCACGCTAGGCAAGCCCTCAAGCATGGGGTCACATCTTCAGTCTAGAAGCAAATTCCAACAACACAGGGCCAGGGATTTAGCTCAGTGGCACCGCGCCTGCCCAGCAAGCGCAAGGTCCTGAGTTCGATCCCGGTACCAACAAAACAAAACAAAACAAAATCCGAAGGCGCAACATATTAAGGTAAGAGCTTAGATACTTGACAGAACAGAACACGTAAGCGTTAGCGTGAGGAGAGCTATGGGGAAAGGGTTCTCGGGCAGAAGCCAATTTTCTATAAATGAGACAATTCTAGATAGCATTTAGAAAAAAATCAGGAGGAGCAAATAAAAGGGGTGGGGACAAACACGTATTTAGGAAAGAGAAAGGAGATTCGAATTTCAACTCTCACACATCTGAGCCATGAAACTTTTCTCAAAAATCTTAAGGACTGTTGTGAAGAGTAAGTAAAAATGCGTGTCAAGCGCTTAGTTCAGTGCCTTAGACCTAAAGCACCCTTCAGTCGTTACTGTTAAGAGAAAGGGTTATAAGGAAAGGGGGGCGCGCAGAGAGGGGGGCCTTGGCAGAGAAGCCTGCGGGGAGGTAAGAGCTGCATGCGCGGGAAGGAGGGCGGCGGTCGGACGTCACCGCCTGGGTGCTCTGAACGCCCCTGACAGGCGCTCGTGCGCGGGGATCTAGGCCGGGTGTGGGTCGGTCGGGGAGTGAGTGACCCAGAGAACGGGAAGGTCAGGGGGCCTAGAGGCCAGGTGGGGCGGGAACTGGGTGCCGGCGCGGCCCCTGCCGTTTGTCCTCACGTTTAGCCACGTTCCGCGTGGGACCATCACGTACTGGAAACCGCAGGAAAACAACTGTTCTGGCCGGGCCACACAGGCCCAGGGTGCTGAGCACCGCTGGAGGCCGGGGCCCAGACGACCAGACGCCCAACGTCCGGACGCCGTAGGGCGCTTCCGGGAGCGCGTC